AGAATATTGCACAACAATTATTATTGCACTGAGGTAGACAGCATCATGGCGGCGACCGTGAGGGGTTAGTGTGTGCATGAATGCGCTTCCACGGACAAGTCCAGTAGGTATGGGTGTGTGTGCGTGTGCAAACTAGTCAAATTCAGTCCAGTGAGTGATGTGAGTTCAGCATTTTGATGGCGTTGGGGTAGAAGCTGTTTCTGAACCGGGTTGTGCGTGTGAGCAGAGTCCTGTAGCGCTTTCCAGATGGCAGCAGTGTAAAGAATGTGTGTGCAGGGTGAGGACAGATACGTACCTCTGTAGCAAGCAAATGATCTGTAGCAATGCTGAATGTATTTACATGTGATTAGATATGAAAAGGTGGAAGCATGGTGGTACTGGTTCCCCAGACTTGTCATTCTGTCACAATCGTGTGGGCGAGCGGGGAAGCAGGTGAGATGAGCCGTGAGTAAGGGTAGCAAAGGGGTTTAATCGTAGGGATACGAACAGCACGGCAGACAACATCAATGACAAGTCTGGGGAAGACTGACTCAGATGAAGACTAAATACACAAGACCTGCCAGAACTAACAGGACACAGGTGATCACAATCAGGCAGAAACAGGAGGTAACGAGGTGGGCGTGGGACACATGAGGATCGGACGGAGCTGGGCGTGACAGGTACAGTGGTTAGTGCTGCTGCCTCACAGCAAAAAGGTCCTGGGTCCTTTCTGTGTGGAGTTTGCATGCTCTCCCCTCTATGTGGGTTTTCACTGGGAGCTCTGGTTTCCTCCCACAGTCCAAAAGCGTGCAAGGTAGGCTGAGTGGCATGTCTAAATTGGCCCTGTAAGTGTGTGCACCCTGTGGTGTGTTGGCGCCTGCCCAGGGTTGGTTCCTGGGATAGGCTCTGTGACTCCAGTTGGGATCAAGTGGTTATGATAATGGATGGATATGAAAAGCACACAAGTCTTCAACATCTTAAGCCATAGTTTGGTTGTACATTGACTTATTTAAATGCCCTGCCTTCATATATTCAATTTTCAGCAAAAATTACTGCAGGGAAAGTAGGCAAAGTTGTGTGGTAATCAAAATAGCCATTAAAAAAGCAAAACCAAATTATCCATTCTAATACGATTTTGTGGTGCATGATCATTACCCAACAGGGGACATCACATCCAGGCTGTCCATGGACACCACTCTAATGGCACGCACGGTGGCCCTGAACGTCAACGTCCTGCTGAGGACCTTGATCAAGACGCTGGGCATGCTGTCTCTGATGTTCAGCCTGTCCTGGAAGTTGACTGTGCTCATGCTTATGGAAACACCGATCACTGGCCTTCTGCAGAACATCCATGACACATACTACCAGGTACAATTACTAACCCCTAGGCATTTGGACTGAATTTCACCTTATTCCAATATTATATTAAGACAAACTCATTACTAAACATGATTACCAAGTTTTTTTTTACCTCCTCTCTCTTCATTGCCTTTAGTGCTCATTGTAAAAATGGCAAAATAGTAGGCAAATTAAAACAGTAATGTAAACTGTACTAATGTTTCACCTGCCTGGTTGCAGAGGTTGTCTAAGGAGGTGCAGGACTCCATAGCCAGGGGGAACGATGCGGCGGGCGAGGCGGTGGCGGGCATTAGGACCGTGAGGAGCTTCAGTGCAGAGCAGAGAGAGGCCACTCGCTATGGCGACAAGCTCATGGACACCCACAGCCTGAAGACGCGCAGGGACACTGTCAGAGCCGTATACCTGCTGCTACGAAGGGTATAATTCATTTCCTTGTTACCATAGTTCACCAAGTACACAGTCAGAGAATGAGAAGCTTTTGAAATAAATGACCTACTCATCAGTAATGTACAGAACATTAAACAGTATAAATGTGGTGCACAATTGGCATGACTGTCACTTCTGACTTGTACACTAACAAAAGTCACCATTCCACTGATTTAAAGTAGTGATACTTTGTAGCACGATAATATTGTCATTAATTTTAAATTGCATTCAATAAATGTATTTTCAGCTGACAGAGCTGGGCATGCAGGTTGCCATGCTGTATTACGGTAGAAGGTTCATCCAGTCTGGCCAGATGAGCACTGGAAACTTAGTGTCCTTCATCCTCTACCAGACAGACCTGGGACAGAACATCAGGGTAGGTCTGAACTCCAGTTTGAGGTCACACTCAGTACAAGCATTGCAACAACTTGCCTATAGCAAACAGTTTTATTAGTTTGTTAAACAGGTTAACAAGAGCAGAATATATCTAAGAGCAGAACCAGGATGGATAATCTGGGCTAATATTTTGCTTGCTTGCTGATTTCCCCTGCATCAGACTGACATCAGTGTGTCGACCTTGTTTATCAGACGCTGATTTACATGTTTGGTGACATGCTGAATTCGGTGAGTGCAGCTGGCAAGGTGTTTGAGTACCTGGACAGGAAGCCCCAGGTGAGCACCGACGGGACCCTGCAGCCGGACACCCTGACGGGACACGTCCAGCTCTGCAACCTCACCTTCTCCTACCCCACCCGCCCTGACGAACCTGCCCTGCAGGTAAATAAACCCCCTGTTTTGGTTCTGTGAGAGATGTTGGATGTGTGCCATGTCTGAGACATAATGATGAGAAATGCTGATGAGGTCACAGAAGGGCTTGGAACCTATCCCAGATAGCATAGGGCACACACGGCAGGGTAACACCACAGATGGGAGTGCAGGGCAAACATTAGGGGTGATTTAGAAACACCAAATAACTTAATTGCATGTCTTTGAATTTGGAAGAAACTGAACGTGAGAAAACATGTAAGCTCTTCAGATGCAGAGTGGGATTCAAACCCACAACCATGCAGGTGTGAGATAACAGTGGTACCCATTCAGCTATGGGGGTTAATCGACCAGCAAGTTGTTCTCATTCTCATCTTCAAAGCATTAAACCTTTGCTGTATTTCTGGTGCTTGAAGAATAGATTAAATACAATACAGTTATATAAACTGTTTACCAAACTGTCAACTTGCTCCATATGACCCCCTTTGCTGTCTCAGGGTCTCTCCCTGGAGCTGAAGCCTGGGCAGGTGACTGCGCTGGTGGGGCCTTCCGGTGGGGGGAAGACCACCTGTGTGAGTCTCCTGGAGGGATTCTACCAGCCGCAGGGGGGGGAGATTCTGCTGGACGGGCAGCCGCTGCACAGCTACCAGCACAAATACCTGCACAGCAAGGTAAGCGCACAGTCAGCACAGGCAGAAGCTGTGCGCCACCTAACGTCACTACAGACACCGGGGGCCACGATAGGCGCTCTGAGCTGCTCCTGTGTCCATCTGCCCCCGACAGGTAGCGATGGTCGGTCAGGACCCAGTGCTCTTCTCGGGCTCCGTCAGAGACAACATCGCCTACGGCCTGAAAGACTGCCCCCTGGAGGTGGTGCAGAAGGCTGCGCAGAGAGCCAACGCTCACGGCTTCATCAGTCAGCTGGAGCACGGCTATGACACAGGTACGCAGTCAGTGGCGGAGCCAGGAAATTTTCTGTGGGGTGGCCAGGATGATTATGTGATCATTTTGGGGGTGGCCACGGCCCCCCCCGGCCCGCCCCCCCCCTGCCTCCGCGCCTGTGCATGGATGGCTGT